AAAAAAGGCTCGAAAACCTGTGAGCAAAAACAAACTCCACCCCCCTATCCCTTTCCTATTCGTCCAAAAAAGTACCATGTCGACCAATCAAAAAATGATATGGCAACGTGGTAGTTATGTGTAGTGTAGTTGTGTTGTGTGTCAGAACAATGAGGCGACTGCTGAGTGTTACAGGTGTTACAGCAGTGAAACATCTGCTGCTGTCAGGCCTGCAGGTATCAGGCTGTTGTTCTCCTTTTTCTCATAGTGGACAGAAATTATTTTTTGGAGCGGCACAAATAATTTGTGTGGCATCAGATTTGATGCAGAACAGCTGATTGTTCTGTAAATAGATTGAAATGTTTATTTAAGAAACGCCTTGGCTGCATTTAAAAAAATAGCTGCAAAAAACTTTGTTGTTTGCCAAACTCAGTTACTTTTTTTGAAGACTAAACTAAATCACGGGCAGGGCGTAGGTGTTGATAGCCTGGATCTTATTCTTACCGTTCAGCTGACTCCTCAGGACTTGCCTGACCCTCTGAGGGTACTTGGTGGTTGCAGCCTTTCCTAGGGGCCTCTTCGTGGTTCCCATTTGCCTGTGGGATCCCCAGGTACTTCTGTCCTCTACGTCTGCAGTGTTGCCTTCTGGTAGGTCTATTCCCTCAGTTCTGACTAAGAACTCATTTCTGACTGCTTTCCCTCTCTTGGGCGATCGTGGCTCAAGAGTTGGGAGTTCGCCTTGTAATCGGAAGGTTGCCGGTTTGAGCCCCGGCTCGGACAGTCTCGGTCTTTGTGTCCATTACTACAGTATACATCAAAAAATAATTTGATTTCTCTTTCAAAACGTGTCAAAAACTCACCAAAAAATAGATATTGGATTTAAAATTACGATTTACTGTTGATTCTAGAAAATATCACATATAAATTTAGTTTCTAAGTGTCATCTAACGTAGATTTCGTGAATATGTACTGGACTTCCAATTTGAATTAAGTGTGCTCCCTGTAAGATTGTTGGCTTTATCTGTAACTGTGAGGGACCAAGCAGCCAAAGCAAAGAGGACACAGGCAAAAAAAATATCTTCAAAAAGGGTTTTCTTTATTTTAACCCTCAAAAAGTCAAAAATTAACAAAATTCAAAAAAATACTTAGCAGGCCCATAAAAGAGGTCAACTAAATATAACACTACAAAAAGTATTTTCCAGAAACTTAAACAAATAAAGTGAGACACAGCTTAACTCACAAACTGACCTAATTACAAAGACACATGAGGGTAGCTTTTATAATGATTTGGCCAAACCATTTGAACACAATAGGGGGGGGGGGGGGGGGGGGGGGAACAAACACTCTAATATTAACTAAGCACAGAATAACCTAACTAAACCTAAAACACCCCTGCTCCTGGTAAGCCCATGGTTAGTCCTGCTGAGCAGGCATTTTGTTCCCAGAGTCCTCAGCCACGCCTTTTGCCCAGACAGGAAACAGCCACCGCCCAAACCCAGGTAACTCAAAGAAAGAGAAACATAATTAATATAACAAAACATTTTGGAAAAACCATATAATGTTACTATGTGCGCACCTCATAATACCAGTGTTAGGTTTAACCAAATGATTAATGAAGAAAACTGCAAAGCAAATTAATAAAGTAAAAAGTGGACTAATTTACCCCTGTGTGGCTGATGCCATCACAGTAGCAAAACATCCAAAGAACCCTTATTAAACAAAACCCCTGATTATATTTACATCAAGATTATGTTAATTCTTGATCATATGTTGTGTATGAGCAGTTTTTACATGTTTATTTTACTTATAAGACATGAGACATGGTTCCAATCATTAACATGGATTTTATTGACAAAAAGATAACCCTTCCTGGAACAATCCAAGACCAATTAACACTTATGCATAAACAAAGGCACATAGAAAAAAAAATCTAATTCAAACGCACATTTGAGCACAAAAGAAGGGGACACTGCCACCTCGAATCTGCCTTACCACATCTGGAACAACGAAAAGGGGACTAATTGAGGCACATAACCTGCAGGTTTAGAAGTAGCTCTAGCTTTCTGAACGTCTCAAATTTAGGGCTGCTGCTGGCCATTTGCGTTCCCTTGGAGAAATCTGCAATGTAATTATATGCAAAGAACAACTAGAGTAAAACAAAAGCCTCATTGTTATGCTGATTATACTTAACTGACAAATTAAGTCAGTCTATTACAATGAACTGAGATGAAGATAATACTTAAGACAATGCTACACCTATCGCAGGACAGAGTGACAGAGAAGCCTGTCAGCAGACAGTAACATACTAACTGGCCAGCACTAATGCTAGCTAAATGTGAATAGGATTTGCAGCCTATATTTCACTTTCCCCTATCAAGCAGGCCACTTGTGCTGTTGACACTGACCATGAACCAAAGACCAGTGCTACTGAACAGCAGATTATGTTATCCTCAGGATAAAAATAAGAACGTTTTATGCTCTCCACTCGTAGTCTGCAATTTTGGTGATCAATGTCAGAACCTTTGGATTGACTGCAAGGTTTTTCTTGGACGTGTTCCACTCCACTTTGGGTTTATCTTAACGCACCGGTCGAATGAAAAAAAAAAAAAATGAAAATGAAAAATAACAACTTCATTAAGAAACGGACTGGACTGTATGATTTTTACATTTGCAATGAATCCAAGTGTAGATTGAGCTTGCTTTTGAGTGCATGTTTGGACATACAGGTCATTGTGAAACAGAGAGGTGATGCAAAGCTATTTGGTTAACCTGTGAGTCTATTGCAAATGCTGTTTCAGGGTAGTGAAACATCTGTGAACATCTACTACTCAGAGGTCTCTTTCTATAACTTGACACGAGCATGAATCAAGGATATTACAGAGACAGCCATCTGAAACGCATTGCTCAGTCTTATGTGTTTTAGCTGCAAATAAAAGGAGATCTGATGATTTAATTTGGATTGCATAACTTTAGATTTCACTGTCTCATCATTCTTATGTTTTAATGCATAAAATTGACTGGTGCCACCTTACCGTTGCTAGAATTCCAAGGCTGCTGCTTGGGCTACTGGATAAGAAATGTTCATGCAGTAGTAAGAGCCAAACATCAGGATAAGTGCGTCGCTGAAGATAGTGATATGGCCATTCACAATTGCCTGGTCCACAGATAACATGAAGTGCTCGGCTGCCAAAGTAGAGTTTCCTGTTGTGTATTTGAACAAGAGACAAAGGGACAAAAAAAACAAGTCCACACATGACTCAAACAACAAACTGCAATGTTACAACTGATGTATATCAATATACACTGGCATGCAGTTTGGGCCCCCCGGTCAACTGCAAGGAGTCCAAATTTTTGCTGTGGGCCCTTTCTTTTTCTGTTTAAAAAAAAAAATATGAAAATGATTTTATTTAAAATTAAATGTCATCTGTAACTTTATGCCATTTGGAAATTATTTCATCTTCCACTTGCTTAACTGTTCATATGAACCAAAATTTTGACCATAGGTGCCCAAACATTTACATTAAAGCACCACAACTGTGACAGCCGTAATCTTTTGACATCCTTAAATGCAGCACAATACTTGCCTTTACAGCTTACTGAATAAATTTGAGAACTCACGCCACTAATCTGCAGAGGAAGAAAAAAACCTTATAAATCATGAAACCTGCCAAAATCCAAATACAGGCATGCAATGTACGTTTATATGTAGTCAAATAATTCACCTCATCTGCTTAGGTCTACTACCTCTCTACAAAATAAAAGAAAATACTTGGCTTATCCTTTACATGTCCATTACATTTTACAGGGCAAAGCTAGCACAGTGGGCTACTTCTATTTCCCTCACTTCATCACGCAGCACATGTTGGTGCGCACGAGCTAGAGTGGAACAGGTCGCCTATTAACTCTTAAGTTGCATACTTAATTTCACATTAAGACAAATGCATCAGTGGCAGCTGTTGTCGTGGGGCCCCTAACAGGTATTAGCGGTGTAGAAACTATCCGCGTAGCAACTGCTGTGTTTACACGGTCACAGAACGCTGGCAGCTAACAAATTATCAAACAACAACTCTGCTAGCCAGCAAGCTAGCGGCTGGTCTAACTACACCTTATACTGACGGATGGCATGCTTTGCCTGCATAGCTAGGGATTCCATGCCTTTTACCGTCTCAGTAAACTATGAGCCATAGTGGTCAAGCAATTCCAAGTTAATTCTACTAAGCTGAGTTTGATATACTTGCCTTGCAGCAGTGCATGGATGATCTTTCACCAACGTCTCTCTTCCTCCGCGCTTTCCAAGCCATACACGTGACCTTGTGGTTGTTAGTTCAAATTTCTCATGTTGTTATGTGTCCCAACATCCAATAGCATGTCACACTTTTTTCATGACCGTGTCCTTACCCCAGGTGCAGAGGCCTATCTCTGTTCAGGAATGTTGTAAATACTTTGAGATTTATATTAATTGCAATTCCTACCTCTACATTTATTTTTTAAAATATATCATTAGCACAGTGTGGCCGTGCAAGGTTTTATGTTTTTTTTAGTTTTTATTCCTATTAGTTATATTTTCACTCTTTACCTCTGAATTATTGAAAAAGAGCTAGATGACATTTTCAGCAAAATTATAATTCAAATACTCATTTAATAATTAATTGTTCTCATTATATTTTAGATCATTTTTTTATATTTTTCCATAGTTTTACATTTGAATTTAACAGTTCAATCTTTCAAATAACGGACAAATATTTGTGAAAGTATTTTAACAATCTAAATATGCATATGTACAGAAAAATATATTTAAAAAACAAGAGAATTATGTTTTATTACATTTACAGTGATTTTATGTTATTTTACATTTGACATATAAAATCACATTCTATTTATGTAAATTTAATGATATTGTAGGAAAACAGTACAAAACTGTAACATACGCAGTAAAATACTTTGATTTTACAATTTGGTTTTACAGTGTGTGTCTGTATATAACAAAAGACCTTTTCATAATTTCAGATTTCCTTCAACAGGTAAATTTTCACAAGTTGTGGTGAAACAAGGTAAAGAAGGTAAGAGTTCAAGATTTCAGCAGTGTGAAGTAATATTGTTGACAATATATAACACATGCCAGAACTATTAGTGCCCCTATGAAAATGTACTTCCCAACTGCGGCTTTCTCTGTTTTGTTGTCCTATTTCTCACGCTTTCATCAATTTAAATTTTACAAGGTTTCTATTGACTAGATTTCTTGTCAGAGGGGGATACTATGAGATGCTGGCAGGGTGAGAAATAAAGGAAAGAAATCTAGCTCCCCATGCCCACTATTACATTGTGTTAGTGATATGTGACTGTAAGTGTTATTCTTTCTAAAGAGCTTGGGTCAGTCTGAATTAAAATTTAGTTTCTGACAAGTTAGCGTTCCCTGTTGAGATCATTTAATGCACAGTATAAATGGTCGTAATTTAGATTTCTAGTATTTCAGATGTTTTTATTCTGCTTATGAGCTGACTCCAGAAAAGTTCTTATCATAGTTTATATGAAAATCAAAGAGTTCAGTATGTTTGAAAATGTGTCAGAGTAAAGCCATCCATGATAGATACAGTCTGACTTCTGTTTCAGAATTCTTCAAACGTGTCAGATAGCCTGTGCATGTTCAGTTAATGCAGAAAGTCAATGACATGACTGTTTCTGTCTTATTGACATCTACTTTTTAATATTTTTGTTCAATAAGAGGCTCTCACAAAGTGTCAGCATGAGCTCAAAGCTAAGTTGAACAAGAGATTCCTGCATTTGTTGGAAGGGATTGCAGAAGAAGAAGACCCAACCCTTCTGAATCAGATCTACACAGAACTCTGGATCACAGAGGGAGAGACTACAGAGGTCAATGAGGAACATGAGGTCAGACAGATTGAAACAGCATCCAGGAAACCAGACAGACCAGAAACAACAATCAGACAAGAAGACATCTTTAAAGCCTCACCTGGAAGAGAAGAACCAATCAGAACAGTGCTGACAATGGGGTTGGCTGGCATTGGCAAAACAGTCTTAACACAGAAATACAGCCTGGACTGGGCTGAAGACAAAGCCAACCAGGACATCCAGTTCATATTTCCATTCACTTTCAGAGAGCTGAATGTGCTGAAAGAGGAAAAGTTCAGCTTGGTGGGACTTGTTCATCACTTCTTTACTGAAACCAAAGAAGCAGGAATCTGCAGCTTTGAAGACTTCCAGGTTGTGTTCATCTTTGATGGTCTGGATGAGTGTCGACTTCCTCTGGACTTCCATGAAACTACAATCCTAACTGACCCTAGAAAGTCCACCTCAGTGGATGTGCTGCTGATAAACCTCATCAGGGGGAAACTGCTTCCCTCTGCTTGCCTCTGGATAACCACACGACCTGCAGCAGCCAATCAGATCCCTCCTGACTGTGTTCACATGGTAACAGAGGTCAGAGGGTTCACCGAAACAAAGAAGGAGGAGTACCTTAGGAAGAGATTCAGAGATGAGGAGCAGGCCAGCAGGATCATCTCCCACATCAAGACATCACGAAGCCTCCACATCATGTGTCACATCCCAGTCTTCTGCTGGATCACTGCTACAGTTCTGGAGGATGTGCTGGAAACCAGAGAGGGAGCACAGCTGCCAACGACCCTGACTGAGATGTACATCCACTTCCTGGTGGTTCAGGCCAAAGTGAAGAAGGCCAAGTATGATGGAGGAGCTGAGACAGATCCACACTGGAGTCCAGAGTATTGGGGGATGATTGAGTCTCTGGGAAAACTGGCTTTTGATCAGCTGCAGAAAGGAAACCTGATCTTCTATGAATCAGACCTGACAGAGTGTGGCATCGATATCAGAGCAGCCTCAGTGTACTCAGGAGTGTTCACACAGATCTTTAAAGAGGAGAGAGGACTGTATCAGGACAAGGTGTTCTGCTTCATCCATCTGAGTGTTCAGGAGTTTCTGGCTGCTCTTCATGTTCATCTGACTTTCATCAACTCTGGACTCAATCTGCTTGAAGAACAACAAACAACCTCGAGGAAGCCTGAAATAAGAGAATCTGCTGAGAAATACTTCTACCAGAGTGCTGTGGACAAGGCCTTACAGAGTTCAAATGGACACCTGGACTTGTTCCTCCGCTTCCTCCTGAGTCTTTCACTGCAGACCAATCAGGATCTTCTAGAAGGTCTGCTGACACAGACCAGAAGTTGCTCACAGACCAGTAAGGAAACAGTCCAGTACATGAAGAAGAAGCTCAGTGAGAATCTTTCTACAGAGAAAAGCATCAATCTTTTCCACTGTCTGAATGAGCTTAAAGATATTTCTGTAGCAGAGGAGATCCAACTATCACTGAGATCAGGAAGCCTCTCCACAGATAAACTGTCTCCTGCTCAGTGGTCAGCTCTGGTCTTCATCTTACTGTCATCAGAAAAAGATCTGGATGTGTTTGACCTGAAGAAATACTCTGCTTCAGAGGAGGCTCTTCTGAGGCTGCTGCCAGTGGTCAAAGCCTCCAAGAAAGCTCTGTAAGTAAATATACACTCATCAATCAAAAGATAACTTTTTCATCATTGTTTGTTAAGAATTCTCTTATTATCTCCATAGATTGAGTAGCTGTAACCTCACAGAGAGAAGTTGTAAAGCTCTGTCCTCAGTTCTAAGTTTCCAGTTATCTAGTCTGAGACACCTGGACCTGAGTAACAATGATCTTAAGGATGCAGGAGTAAAGGCTCTGTTTGCTGAATTGGCAAATCCACCCTGTAAGCTGGAAACACTAAGGTCAGATGACATTACAGTTTTTTTATTTTGTTTTTTATGTTATGAAGGAAGCGTTACCTACTAATACAAATCTGATTCATGATATAATGTGATTTAAACCTATTGTTGTTATCACTCTGTGATATTTCAGATATTTCTAACATTATGGCTTTTATGTACAACTAATCAATGTGCACCCAAAATAACAAGCTACTTTAAACACTCAAAATCCACGATTTAGTTTATTTCAAAACAAATTTGAACTTTTTAATTTTTCTCATATAGGGAAATGTCTGATGGGATCTGAAAGAATGTTGAAATGGTGATAATCATATCTTAAAAATGTATTAAATTAATTTAAATGAAGTTGTATAATTTGAGGAAAAGTGATGGGAAAAAAATTAAGAAAATCTCACCACAATATATATATACATAGATAAACATGAAATTATAATGTACAGTCAGTATGGTTTCAGACCAATCAGATCAACATCCATGGCATTAATGGAACTAATTAAAAATATCACCAATAATATCGATCAAAGACAATGTACAGTTGGTGTTTTCATTGACCTAAAAAAAAATGCTTTTGACACAATTAATCATGAAATATTACTTGATAAACTGGAGTACTATGGCATTAGAGGCGTGGTGCTAGAGTGGGTCAGGAGTTATTTGAGAGACAGGCAACAATTGTGAAGGTTGGTGAATATCAATCAGTACCTGGACATTGTTTGTGGAGTTCCACAGGGGTCAGTATTGGGACCAAAACTGTTATTTTATTTGCAGATAATACAAATATTTTTTGTGCTGGAGAGAATTCACAACAGCTTATGGAAATTGTCACACAAGAAATGATTCAACAGAAAACATGGTTTGACAGAAACAAGTTATCACTAAATTTGAATAAAACTACATTTATGTTATTTGGAAATTAATAAAAAGATACTGGAGCAAAATTGTTGATAAATAATGTTGAAGTAGAGAAAGTTTCTCATACAAATTTTCTGGGTGTGATAATAGATAACAAAATCTGCTGAAAACCTCACATAAGAGCTAAACTGTGAAGAAGCATCTCTGTTATGAGTAAAGCTAAACATCCTTTGCCTTCCAAATCACTCCAGGTACTTTACTGTACACTTATACTGCCATATTTGGAATACTGTGTGGAAATCTGGGGAAATACATACAATACTTCACTGCAACCGTTATGTAAAATTTAAAAAAAAAAAGCAATCAGGATGATTACTAAAGCAGGAGACCACACTAACATTATGTTCTTGAAATTAAAATCCTGAAGTTTATGGATCTTGTAAAATATAAACTGCAAAAATTATGTAGAAAGCCAGATATAATATCTTACCAGGAAATGTACAGAGGGTTTTTTTGACAGAGAAGGGGACTATGAATTGAGGGGAAAATTAAATAAAAAATCTGAAGACTCTTAAAGCACAGACAAAGGTTAAAACCTGTTGTGTTACCATTTGTGGGGTAAAACTGTGGAACAGCTTTGCTGTGGACCTACAGCAATGTTCCAGCATTAGTCAGTTCATAAAGATGTTTCGTTTACTGCTTTTGGAAGAATACGAAACTGATCAAGTTGATCACCCGTTGTCAATGTAACTATCCTAAAATGTATATATCATTGTAGCTATGTTAATACATGTCCTTCATTCCTTGTTTATTGTGTGGGGTAAGTGATGATGGGAATTAGGGGTAACAATGAACAGTGGGATTTAATAGCATGTTGAGCATGGGGTAGGGACTAATAAGTATGTTATACTTCTTTCTACTCTATTTCGGACTCATTGTAATATGTCATTTAGACTCTATTTTATTTATTTTCTTTTTTGTTTTGTCTGAGCACATACATGTGTGTATTTGCATATATATTCGTATTTATACATGTAAACACAAGTATGTGTACTTGTATATATTGTTTTTCTGTATACGTCTGAAATAAAGATACAATAATCAATAACCAATTTCAGTATTGACTGAGACACTGAGATAATCCAAAAATATTCGCTAATTTAAAACTTGATTGGAACAATACATCTGAATGAAGTTACGTTAAAGTAACAGAATGCTGGGAAAGTGGTAGTAAATAGAAACTGGCCGTATCAAATATTTGAATGTTGTGTTCCCATTATAACTGATTCTTTGTTTACCCGAGATACAGTTTTTTGGGGGTGAAAATATGAAAGGAAAACCTTCTTTTCTGTTTGTTTTTTTCATGTCTTCAGTCTTTCAGGCTGTCTGATGACAGATGAAGGCTGTGATTTTCTGGCTTCATTTCTGACCTCCCACCCCACCCATTTGAGAGAACTGGACTTGAGCTACAATTACATAGGAGACTCAGGAGAAAAGCTGCTGAACCAGCTTAGACTGGAGAGTATGAGGTAGTAGAGTGTGAAACACTGGAAACATTTCGTCTTGGTAGCATTTTGTATTTCAGTAAATTTATTAGATCTGGGAAGTAATTGTCATAGTACGGAAACACATTTAAAGGTTCCAAAGAGGTAAACCTATTTAGCAATAGTATAGTAATGTTTTGAGAGTCCTGCTTACAATAGAATCACGATATTATGGATGGTAAATGGCCTGCATTTGTATAGCGCTTTTCTAGTCATTAAGGACCCCAAAGCGCTTTACACTACATTCAATCATTCACACACACAGGCAATAGCAAGCTACATTGTAGCCACAGCTGGGGGGCACTGACACAGGCGCGGCTGCCGGACACAGGCGCCACCGGGCCCTCTGACCACCACCAGTAGGCAAACATGTGGTTAGTATCTTGCCCAAGGATATTTGGCATGCAGCCAGGAGGCAGCCTGGGATCGAACCACCGACCTTCTGATTAGTGGCTGATCTGCTCTGCCACCTGAGCTACAGCCACCCAGGATATTATTGTAGCGATCGTGGCTCAAGATATGGCAGTTCGTCTTATAATTGGAAGGTTGCCGGTTCGAGCCCCGGTTCGGACAGCCTTTGTGTCGTTGTGTCCTTGGGCAAGACACTTCACCCGACTGCCTACCGGTAATGGCCAGAGGGACCGATGGCGTGATATGGCAGCCTCGCTTCTGTCATTCTGCCCCAGGGCATCTGTATCTAGAACTGTAGCTTGCCTTCACCAGTGTGTGAATGTGAGAGCGAATGAATAGTGGAATTGTAAAGGGCTTTAAAGGTCTCGAAAAAGCACT